GCAGGGGGTCAGACTCGATGATCTATTGAGGTCCCTTCTGACCCTAACATCTATGAATCTATGAATCTATGAGACCATTATCCCTGGAGCAACAGAAGCCTCACCTCTGCCATGTAGTGGTGGATCATAGTTATAGCTGTGTTGTTGTTTATTGTTATGGAAAGTGGATTGTGACCAGAAGGAAATCAATTGGGTTATGGGTTGGAAACTGTTTTAAAGGGTTATAACAAGGTGAATTTAGTTATTTAGGTTGTTTAACACAAGTGGGACCACATAGTGTGCTGTAATTATCCACCGAATGTTGTTGCTGTACATTTATTTTAAATGGTTAGTTTTGTTATTATAGGTCTTTGTTTCTTTATTTTTTCTGTATATAAATTGGTTGTGTATAATAAAGAATAATATGTCATTGGGTTCAGAGCTAATTCCTAGGTGGTGAAGGACACACCTCTCAATGGAACACATCAGTCAGTAGTCTGCCTGAGGGGCTGCCGGGGCTACTGCCAGCCTGACGACCCAAAATCTGGTGCATCACCCAGTGTTATTGTGCCAGCATGAGTTATAGTAGTTTGGGTATTTGTCCCTTTCTCCTGCCTGAAACATGTGCATAGCCAAAGAATATTTCTATTTTAATATAACTTCTGTATATATTTTGATAGTTTGTCACTACACATTTAAAGAGTAGCAGATGTGTCCATATTTATAGTAATTGATTAACATATTTATAGTAATCAGGGTATAAAATAAAGGTAAGCATTAAGTTTACTGATTCTTCAGTGAGATAACAATGGGGAAAGAACAAATAAGTTGAAACATTGTTTCAACAAATGAAAAGTCTTCATTTTATTTTTGAGATTTTAGATATTTTGCGTTGTGGAGCCTTGCACAAGCAGCCAGGTAAAATCTCTTGGACATTTAGCAGCCTGCATAGAGTTCTACTCCTTGCAGACTGCACACAGTTGCCCCTTTTCTGAGAGTTTCTAGCAGCCTCGTTCCAAAAATGAGTAACAGGTCCTGTTTTAAACAAAAAGAACCTGCAGCTCAGTACCCCTCACTGTTCTTGCAGGAATCTTTGCCCTTGGCGCACAAGCAGCACACAAACCATCCTAGCCCTGCTGAGCTGAGTCTCCCAGCTCCAGTCTGGCCTAGTCTCCTCAGAAGTTCTTACCCTAGTCACATCTGGCATGAGTCCTGGTCCCAGCCTTCATGACTCCAGGACAGCATTTGTCCCAGATTTGCAGCTTTGTGCAGGGATCCACAGGAAACAGTGGATTTCCCCTT